TTTTAAAGCTGTCAGACTGGAAATAGAATTTAATATACTTAGGTTTCTGTAAATTGTCACCGAGTCAAATGTTACTGTTCATTATCAAGTTAGTGCCAAATGCTATTATGATTTATCATGACAGCAAAGTCTGTTGAATGTTGAGAACCGAGAGTGAGAGTCTGGTGTTGAACCTAGAAAAAAAGGCCTTGTATCCTTCCCTGACATGGTCTTTGTACACATAGTAGAGAAATGGGCTGGGATTTGTACACATGGTAGAGAAATGGGCAGTTCCTTTGAAGCTGTTTGTTATGAAAACATACTGAAGACAATCCTATGAGTATTATTTGGGAATGGTGTGAAGATGCTCTTTCTGAAGAGGTGCTGGAGGAGAGAGAGTTGTTTCACCTGTGACCATATAGGAATGCAGCAGAGTTTGCTGGAGTCTAATTAGTATGGTAAGAGTCATTTTGTGGGTCCACCGTTTTACCTTCATGTTGAATAGCATTTGCCAAAATTGTAGAACAAGATCTGAAGAATGGTAGGTAATTTTTTCAGTTGCCAATTTTACTTTTTTTTTTTTTTTTTTTTTTCCATTGTATGCGTAGAGCAGTCAGGAAAAGGACTTGGATATGCTTAAGTTTCCTTGAACTGTCACTGAATGACATGCTCTTGCTAGGAGCCAAAATGTTGCTTAAAGTTGGATAAATCCATGGTGCAAGAAAAGGTTGTGAATGCAACAAGGATGGTGAGTGGCTGGATTTGAATGTGAGCAGCAGTTGGGTCAGCTGTGTTGTTGTGTGTTGTGTTTGACTTCATTGTTGCTGTCAAGACCTGTATTATATATGCACTATTTTATCCCGGTTTCAACATATTGCATGGTAATGGTAAGCATCTGATGACAAAATTTGTCTCTGTATATTGAATGATAATGCCTATCTCTAATGGCTTATGAATGTTGTGTGAACCCTTTCATGTATCTAGATGTGATGTTGTGATGGAGAGTTTCTTAATAGCTGTAATTCTGTTTATAGGGCTTTGTTCCCAGGGAGGCTATGATCCACGTTTCCTGTTTTCTGGGCAGAGCATATGCATTTGGAAATGATACAGCTGTTTTGCAGAAAATCCTGACGTTCCTTGAGCAAGTCACAACAAACACATGAGGACAGATTGTTTACTGTGACAAAACTGAGACTGAATCCCTCATGGTTTGCGTTGTTAGAGTTAGGGTAGTCCGGTTACTTTGAGGTTGGGTTTGATGATTTTGAAGGTCTCTTCTGCCCTGAGCAATTGCATGTTTCTATGGCTTCTTAAAATAATTTGTATAAGTTCTTGTATTAACTCTTTTTCATTTAAAGCTTCGTATTCAGAGGAGATGAGCAGGAGAGTTGGAAACTTTCTGAGAAGTGGTGAATTTTTCCTAAAATAAAATCCTCTACTGTGTAATTTAGTGGAAGAGTTTAGGGCCTTACCTGCACCTTAAAAACGATTCCAGATGTTGTGAGATTTAATTTTAGTGTCCATGGAGAAGACCATTATTCCTTCTGGAGTTTCTCAGCCACATTTCTCTTTGAATGCTTCCATGCGGTGCTAGCATTTCTGGGTCTTATGTCCATGTACATATGTTGATTTGGAAAAAGTAGCAAAAATACTGTTGCATTTATTTTCTTTCCAGTACTGTTATATGTTCTTGTGCCATCAACTGGGTATTTCAGAAGAGCCAGAGGTGGTGTGGAATGGCAGAGATGTGCAGGTAGCTCTTTGCTCTGTTCCTTTTTTATGTCTCTGCTGCCAATGTAAACCTTAGAAGATTGGAATGTCCATTAGAATTGTGGAAATGAGGGAGTCGTTTCCATACTTCGAATGTGTAGAGCTGTCAACGATAAAACTTGTGTATATTTCTCTTTCAAAACAATGTCAGTGAATGAAATGCTCCTGGCACTGCCTGCCTCAATAGTAGGAAAGTGGATGCTGTCCATGGTGCTGACAGAGCCGGAGACTTCAGAGTGCAGTGTGTGAGAGCTTGGCTTAGAGTTTGAAAAATTGTTGTGTTAAGGAGGCTCTGTCTGGCCTCTTGAAAGCAAATTTTCTTGTCTGGATTTCCTTTCACATCTGGTGGCGATGCCTGCAACTCTTTCTGCTACAGTCCTGGTGTCTTTGTCCTTAGAGTCAGCGTTGGTTCCCGTAGTATCAGGTGATAGGTTAAAACTGCATATGTAGAACAGGCCTGAGAAGTGAAAGAGATAGAATGCAGATGGATGCACTGATTTCTGTGATGCTGAAGGCAAAGAAGAGCATAAGAGTATCGTGGGGGAAGATGATCCCTGCAAACACTGATGTAGGGACTTACCAGGTTCTGTATATTGCTGTCAAATTTCACCTGCTTGTATATCTGGATACATGTCTTTGATGGGACAAGGCTTTCTTCACACCAAGTGCCATAGCGTTTTCTTCCAATCTATGGGTAGATATCTTGATAGAAATTGAGGTGAAAGAAAGCAAGGCCAGAGTTTTCAAGTGCAAACATACAAGAGAGATCTGGTGACTGCAGATGGCCCAGACAAATAATGGCAGAAATTATTTCTCTGTCACTCTTGTGTAGATGCTCACTTGTACGTATCTTATGTTTTCAAAGGCTAGAGATTATTGTTCTTGCAACACAGACATAGGGATCACAGGCAGTACAAGAGCATGAAGTTTTTCCTTGAATCAGGAGGATTGATGGGTCAGCAGTGTATCTGGCTTTACCGAGATTTGATTGCTAGTATTGGGTCAAGGTTAGTGTCTATGTCACCAGGTCCCTTTCTTTCAACATTATGGTGATCATGAATGTCTATTTTCTTTGTGTGAGCCACCAACCAGTACATCTGGATGTAAAATCATGACATGAAGATTCAACTCCAGTTTTCATTGACTTCAAAATGCTCATTTTAAGGCAAAAATTGTGTCAGTGAAACTATACACTACAGCAGCGCAGCAGGACCAGCTGTTGCTTTATAATTAGAATTGGAAACATTTGAAATGACTGAGCTACTGGTTTGGAGGAAGGAGTTTTGGAGAACACAGCCATGCTCCTCTACCCATTGTTGCAATCAGGAGGTAGCAAAAGGTTTTAAGCATTGCATACATCCTTGAACTCTCAATGCCCTGTGGCATGCCAGTTACATGGGGAGGTGGAGCAGACTTGTGTGCAGTGTCCGTGTCCGCCTCTTGTGGGTTGTTCTCATTTCTTGGAGGACTGGAGGCACAGGGCCTGCCATCTCAGAGGGCTCAGGAGAACTGCTGGCTCCATGTCTAAGCCTAAGAAGGAGGAACTACACGGATTGGGAACTCATATTCATGATGCACTGGTTAATGTGCATGAGAGGTTCCCATTGCAGCATGTTATGGATACAGGGGAACAGCTTTTTGTATGCTGTTGACATTGAAACAACAACAACAGAAACCATAAGTGAATGGAGTTTGTGGTGCAGAAACTGACTGTGCAAAAAAAATAGATAATACTCAGAAGTATTTAGAGTTGGAATTAAAAGTACAGATTCTCCTTGTTACGTGTTAGAAATAAGACACCCAAGATTACCACATTTCCATATCCACAATCATGATGACCTTGAAAAAAGAAGTAGTTGTTCTGTCCCCTCTAAGAAGAGATTTGCTAACAAAAAGCAAATGAAGATGCAGCTTGAACTGTCAGCTGGATATTTGTTTCTTTACATATAGATGCAGAAATACCATGTAGAGCCAAGCTACTGCCTTGCAGGAAAAGTGTTTTTGGAGAACACAACCATGCTCTCCTACCCATTGTTCAATCAAGTGGTAGCATTACGCATCGAATATGCCCATCACCTCTGATCTACCTGTGGCGTGCTGGCCACTTGGAAACATGTTACAAACTGATGTGGAGAGCTTGTGGCCAATTGCAGCATTTATGGGGAGAGCTGAGGAGAACTGCTGGCTCCTGCACCATGACACGGAGGAATTGTTTGGTTTGGGAACTCCACTTTCTGGTATGAGGACGGTACATGAAATCCCTTTCCTATGTGAGATGGAAAAGGTGTGCTGGTTTTCTGAAGGCAATTGTCCTGGAAATAACAGAGATCACGAATGTATGCAGTACTCATGTTATTAAAGATATGTGGAAAACATCGGAACATTAGCAACTGCAAGAAGAATCAGTGTACGCCTGAAGAGAGACAGTCCTCGTGCAAAAACTGGTATAGATTCAGAACTTTTAAGATATAGAATAAATCAAAAAGACTCACCTTGATTTGAGTAAGAAATAATGGACTGGAACGAAAACTGCCGCTCTGTACAGTGACGACCATGAACAAGACCAATGGCGTCTCAATCGAGTCTAGAACCGGGAAAAAAGGAATGCAAGAGAATATTACGAAATTGCTGAGGGAGTGCAACGTGCGGCGGTTGTGAGGTGGCGGCGGTTCCTGCGGCAGAGGCAGCGGCGGCGGTCGGTGGAGCCGTGCGTGCAGTGCCGGGCGTTGGCTGCGGGCGCCGCTGTTCACCGTGGAGGAGAGGAAGGAGCCGAGCGCTGCAGGCAGCCCCGCCCGCTGCGGCCCGGCTCGCTCGCTCGCTCTGTCTCTGTGTCGCCGTCCGGGCGGGCTGCGAGCGGCCCCGCGGTGCAGAGCGGTGCTGCAGTGAGGCGGAGGGGCGGCGGGAGAGGTCGGCAGCGGACGCCGAGCCGGAGCCGGAGAAGAAGCGAAAAGAGAGAAGAGAAGGGAGAGATCGGAGTGGGAACGGAGCAGAAGCGGCGATCGTGAGGTGTCGGCGGAGCCGTGCGGGAGATGTGCTTGGCGAGAGAAGGGCGCTGGGGCCGGAGGCAGCGGGCGCTGCTGTGCTGCGTGTTGGTGGCGGCGTGGGAGGCGGCGTGGGGGCAGCTGCGCTACTCGGTGCCCGAGGAGCTGCCCAAGGGCTCGTTCGTGGGCGACGTGGCCAAGGACCTGGCGCTGGAGTTGTCGGCGCTGGGCGCCCGCGGCGCCCGAGTGGTGTCCCAAGGCAGGGCGCAGTATTTCGCTCTGCATGCGAGCAGCGGCCACTTGGTGACGGCCGAGAGGATCGACAGGGAGCAGCTGTGCGAGAGCAAACCACAATGCGTGCTGCGCTGTGAGCTGATCGTGGAGGGCGAGATGAAGGTTTATGCAATCGAAGTGGAAATCACGGACATCAACGACAACGCGCCGAGTTTCAAAGAGTTGCAGGTGGAGGAGAGAATGAATGAGATGACAGCCCCTGGAACACGATTTCCCCTGAGTAAAGCCTACGACCCGGACGTGGGTGTGAATTCCCTGCAGAGCTACGAGCTGAGCGGCGACGAGCACTTCTCGCTGTCGGTGCAGGCGGGAGCCGACGGCGAGAAGCGTCCCGAGCTGGTGCTGGCCAAGGCGCTGGACCGGGAGGAGGCGGCGTTTCACGAGCTGCTGCTGAGGGCGAGCGACGGCGGCGAGCCGGCGCGGACGGGCACGGCGCGCATCCGCGTGGCTGTGCTGGACGCCAACGACAACGCGCCCGCGTTCAGCCAGGCGGTGTACACGGTGCGAGTGCCCGAGGACGTGCCCGTGGGCTCCACGCTGCTCAGCGTCACCGCCACCGACCCTGACGACGGAACCAATGGAGACGTGAAATATTCGATAAAGATTGCTACAGAAATGGCACTGGAAATCTTCCACCTGGAAACGGACACAGGAGCGATCAGGCTGGTGACGAACCTGGATTACGAGAAAGGAGACTCTTACGAGATTCTCGTTCAGGCTCACGACGGCGGTGCCCTATCGGACACGGCGAAGGTGTCGATCTCGGTGA